ATGAAAACAATGTGCACTGAACCAACAGCAGATCCAGCTCTGCCTAACATGTGATTTTGGTGTCTCTGAACAGATAAGTCCTTGCTTATATGTGGTTTGCGAGCAGTTGTGGTCATTCTCTTGCTAATTGGGATTTCCATCTACTTTGCTTGGAAGAAAAAGAAACATGACAAAGCTGAAGTCTCTGCTGTCCCACAAACAAGAGGAGATCCAGAGGACTCTCTTCTGATGGTTGAAATGAGTTCTGCAACTTACACCAACGCCTAGTTTCACCTTTTACTTGCTGTTATTTGTTTTTGGTTCACAAGCATGAAAATAGCATTTAGAGAGAAATTCTTCTGCTCTTTTTATTCCCCACGAATTATGTTTCACAGACAGCTCATATTGAATTATGATGAGAAGCTCTGTGGTTTCTGGGTTTTACATTTTTTAAATACAAATCTTTACAATTCTTAAACAATAAAGTCTTGAATTAAGTTTACTTCATGTGTCAGTTTTTTTTTTTTTTTAATTTTCTGCAAATGAAGTTACTGAGTGAGGAGAAGGGGAAGCAGGAGTTAGATGAACTGGGGCAACAACAGCAGTCATGCAGATGCTGCACTGGTCCATTGCACTGAAGAAAGACCTGAGAGAATAAGAGCTTTAGATTCATGTTCCTAAGATCACCAATTGTCATGAGCTCTGGTTAATGACTGAAAGACTGAGATCACAAATACAACCCAAGGCAGGAGATTTTTGTCATTTTAGACTCCTGGGTCCCATCTGGGCAATGCTTACATTAAATTCAAATGCAAGTCACATGCACTTTGTGGAAAAAACAATGTGATCGATGCTTACGTGGCAAAATAATCTTGAAATGCATCTTGGTGTATATCTTTTAATTCTTGTACAGTGATAACATAAAACCATATTAACTGAACTGATCACTGTTTCATAATGTCAAATACGTTTTTAGACATACTGCACAATATATTTTGTGGATGGTGAAAACTTCTATATTTGGAGTTTTATTATTTGAGTTTTAAAACATAAATAGGGGAGAGTGGGGTGGGTTTTTACATAAAGTAAAAACTGGCACAACTCACTTTAAGATTTTGCTTAAAGTGAGGCCATGATAGTAATGGTTCCAACTAAAACATGTACATATATTTCAGGATGTTGTACATCCCTGGGAACAATCACTTTGGATCTGAAATATAGTATTTAAGAAATATAGCTTTCTTAAAAAAAGTGCTCTTGTGGCACAACTTGACCCCGATGCAGTGTTAGTTGCGCCTTTGGAGAGAATACCTTGGGATAAATTGAGCCATTGATTATTAAAGTAAAACAGTATATTCTGATCTCAGGAACTGTAATTCTATATAAAAGCTAGACAAATTTAACACAAAACGACTTATCTGAGGTTTATTTAAAGTTATTTTACAATATCAAAGGCCAATTTTATACAAGCCACACGAGCACATCAAAAGCCAGTTTTCTTAAAAATGAACTTGTTGAAGCTACCCACTGCTCCCTTCTGGATGTACCACCAAGTTTTTGTGGAGTGGGTAGTTGTTTTTTTATGCACATCTTCTCGAGGGATGACTCCGTCAAAATTTTCTTTGAAAGTGAAGATGGGCTTTCCATTCACAGACCTATTACTACTTCACCTTAAACATTTTCACCAGTGTCAGTCAGCACCATCAACCAATCCATGTAGTTGTAGGATTTGATTTTGCCTGAAAACTTCATAATGACAATCACAATTACTTTCATATTTACATATGTCAAGCTATACGCTCTAAATAAGTACCCAACTTTACTTCTTTGTGAACTATCTGCATTTTGATAAATGATAATGAGCATTTCCTGGGAAATATATACTTTTCCTTAAATGCACACTTAACCCAACCTGCCTCTGATATCCCTGCCAGCTGGATCAAAATGTCATTTCTTTGTGCATATTCAAATACCATGAACTGGATTTTGAGTATGCACAAAGTAATGAACACATAAAGGCTGCTAGTGCCTTCATATGTTCTGCCAGCTCTCTCTCCATAACACTTGATTGACAAGTCCAGATGTTTTATATCCTTTTATAGCCTTATTTCTCTTCCATCTATCTTTTTCTTCTCCACATATTGTTTTAATGTCATCATGAATATGTTCATCTTCCTCGCCACTTGATGAATGGACTTCCCCTTCTCACCTCATTCACTCTGTCCATGTCCTGTAAAGGAGTGGAAGCCCTGCCTGTCCTCCCTATTACAGTTTTTCTCAGTTGCTTTGGTGCATTTCTCACAACAGAATT